AATAACTGTACTTGGTCTTACAACATATAGTCATCAATGGAATCGTAAAAAGCTTGCAAACATACATACACACACACACACACACACATACATGACTATACTGTTTGTGAGATTAAATTGGCTAAAATTATCATTCTATATTTGTTTATTATGGTTGCATTGTTTTGTTTTTCTCATCCCCTCTTATTTCATTGCTACTATTCTTTTCTGTTTAATATGAACAGAATAAGAAACCAATAAAGAGATAAATAGATAATGAAAACGAATAAATAATTTTATTGATTTTTTTTTATATCGATAATGGACATTGTTGCAGAAAATGAATGAACGAAGATAGTAGAAAAAAATCGGTTATTCATTTAGCCGGTCTATCAGTCATTGTCATTTGCCATTTATAGCCAATGAGAATTTCTACTAAAAAATGGACTGACCAATTCATCCACACTACCAACAAACATAAAATGGCATTGTCCATTAAAAGAATCAAACTAAAAGATTTTTATGAAATTAATCAAGAATCAAACGAACGAATAAATTTTTTTTTTCACCATCTCTCTATAATTCTTTTCCTTTCTCATCTCCACCACCATACTGCTGCATATTTCAATGACCAATGACAGTATCATTTTACAATGACAACAGCAATTTGATCTGGTACATGAAGATGTCCAAAGTTTTTTTTTTCATCCTCCTCTTGTTTTTAGGTTTTGGATTGGCAGAACACACACATACATTACGTATATATATGCAAAGCAAACAATAACAACAACAACAACAACAACAACAAACCGGAAGACAATGACATCATACAACAAAAACAAATTGACAAGATTGTTAATTTTCTTTACAGAATACAAATATATACAAAAAAATCGTAATCAATTGATTTTTACATTTTCACTATAAATGACAATTCTATTTGTTTTTATATTTGTTCACGATTTATTTGTTTATCTATTGATTGTCATTATTGATGAACAAAAGAATCAAATGTCGAATTTGTGTGTGTGTGTGTTTTTTTCTTTTCACTCACATCTAACATTTTTTTTTTAATGATTGTGATGAAGAAAAAAAATTTTTTTTCTTTCGTTTCTGTTTACCAATATTTGATGATATTGAATCATTAGAAAAAGAATTATAAGAAACGAAAAAGATTTCTATGGGAAAAAAAATGTCAATTTTTTTTTGTCATGAATGTCAACCGAAAGATAAGAAAAAGAAAAAAAAATTAACAGAAAGTTGAATTCAAAAAAAAAAAAAATGGTAGGAATCCAAAAAAAACAACAACAACAATGATAACGAGAAAACAAAACACAATTCAATTCAAATGCTGTCATCAGTCATTTTTTTTTTATTTCTTGATGAACAAAATTCACAAACCAAGCTCATTTATGATTCTAGTTTTATTTCTTAAAATAATAGTGATCCAAGAAAACTAAAAGGAAAAAGTTTCTAATGAAACTTTCAGGTTTTCTTACATTATGAACTGCAATCAATATTAATGGAATGTTTTCACTATAATTCTTTTAATTTTAATTACAAGTTTTTTTCCTGGTACAAGTGATCGGTCGATCATCATCATCATCATCATCAAATGTTCATCAACGTTAATTGTATGATGAATTGAAGAAGCATTAAAAATGCATCAAAATCGTGTATACAGCTGTGTAAATGAAAACGAAATTCATACAAGAGATCAGAAGAATTTTTTTTTCTCCGTTGATTCCTGATTGTTGTAATGAAAACCATAAGAATATATGAAAGAATTTTTTTTTCTTTCCCTGGTTAAAAAAAAACAACAACAATGATGATGATGACATTGTGTGACAAGTGAACAAGTAAATTCTGTTTTTATGGCAAGCAAATGTCGTTGATTATATGAATGTATGTATGTACTATGGTTTAGATAGATAAATGAATGAAACTTTTTTTTTCTTTTCATCTAATTCCAGTTATTATTATTATTATTATTGTTAGATGTTAACCAACCAAAGTATGTATGCATGTCAGCAAAATGAAAGAAGAAACATTCCAATGAAAAGAAAAAAAAATTGTAACAGTACGTTTCAATTATGTAAATTAAGAAAGTAAATTTATGTACATCAAAGTAGAAAATAATGGAATGAAAAAAAAATCAGAACGAACGACATCAACCAAACAAGAGATTGAAACTTGAAAACATCATCAATGATTAGAACGAAAAAAAAATTACTTTTATATGTGGAATTTGAGTTTTTTCTATATTCTGGAGATTTTTTTTTTTTTTTTTTTTGTGGTCGACAGTGAGAAAAAAAAATGATCATTCTGTATTGGTCATGATCTGAAAATTGAGGCCAAAACACCAAATAGCACTTAACGATGATACAAATTCAATTTAAAAAAAAATCTATCTATTTTTCAATGTATGTATGGGATGAATGAATGAATGCATTCATTTTTGTCATCATCAATGGTGAGTGGACAAATAAAAAAAAGGAAAATGTATCGAATTAATTAGAGCTTAACACAATAAGAATAGAGAGAGAGAGAGAGAGAGAGAAATCGAATCCTCAAATTTTCGAAACAAACAAAAAAAACAAAACAAAACAAAAGAATACACATAATGGCCATATAAATAAATTATATTGGTTTTCTTTTTCTCTTCACACACAATTCATCTATTTACAAATAAAAATTGGTAGATAGATATATTTTATTTATTATGAGATCATCGAAATCGATGATTCTCTCTTTCTCTATGATATCACTGGCATCGAATATCATTGTGTGTGTGTGTGTGAATCTAATGTTCATTCGATAAGAATGGAGACAAATATATAGAAGAAAAAAAAACAAGGATGACACCCGCGGGATGGATTCATCATACATTCATAAACACAAATATAGAGCTTAGCATCAATAATAATAATGATGATGATGATGATGATTATGGTGATAACTATAAGTAGGAATAAATAGAAAAAAAACCGATACGATAAAAAAAATGTATTAGGCAATATAATCATGATTCTGAAATTGATATTTATTTTTTTTTTATTTTCAGGTCCCAGATTCTTCTTTCGACAACAACAACAATTTGAAATGATAAACAATAAACGATGAACAATAGTAGTAGTAGTGATCATTAAATTATTCATCGTGTCAAATATCATTATCAATTCTGTATATACAAGTGTAATAAGTGTGTGTGTGTTGTACAAATAAATCAACAAATTGTTGATTACTAGCGGCAACTTTTCATTATCTCAAATTATGAAACCTTATTTTCGGTTTTGTTTTGTTTTGTTTTTTTTTTTTTGCCACTAATCATAATTATGGATCATCATTATATCGAACAAAAAGCCAACAATAAAATGGTACATGTAAAACAAATGACAATTATTCAACCAGAGATTGAAATGAACATGAAGAGTCAACGATATTTTTTCAATTTCTTTTTTTTTCTTCTTCTTTTTTGATAATTCGATCCACTAGCCGTCATCATCATTATCATCATTATTGTTGCTAGCTCAAGTATCGATTACAGTTTACAATTTTTATGAATACAGAATATAAACCATTGGATCGACCGGATCCATTGGTGACATTTACCGAAGACAATTTTATTGGTCACATTTTTGTATGAATATTTTTTTTTTGTTTCACATTCGTATATTCTACATTCAACCATCATTGCTATCGATTTGATTCTCATTGTTCTTATCTAACTTGACTCTCTTTTTTTGCAATGGAATTTTTCGATCCAACAGAAAAACAAAAATACGAAATGAAAATGAAAATGGCAACCAGGTTATACACTGAATTCATCATCGATCGTATTTTCTGGTGGAATTACCAATACAAACTAGATTAGGAAATGCATCAAAATTTTTTTTTCCAACAAACACACATTTATTCTCTTCAGTTTCATTCACCCACACATTGATATATAAAAATGAAATACGTTACGAATAAATAAATAAATCGAATCCAGAAAAGTCCAGAAAACAAAACAAAAGAAAAATCCTAATTCCTTCGAGACAATGAATGAAACTTATATAATGACATTCTTTTCAATATCTCATTACAGTGTTTATGTGCGTGTGTGTGTGTGTGTGTGGGCATGTATATGATTCTAATGGAAATAACATCCAAATCAAGTATAAAGATTCCTAACGGAATGATATAATCAGCAAATTTTATTTCGCTATGATTCATTGAGTTCATTATACTTTTTTTGTTCATACACAAAGTCATTGTCCATCATAAGTAAACTATATATAATAATGACAAACAAATAAGGCAAGAATCAAAAAAAAAAAACATTGACAATATACCATTGTTATACGTTTGTATTATTATGTATTTTGATATCGATCAAAAAACATCAAAACCAACAACAACAACAACAACAAAAAAAATGCATATCCACCTATATAATATTATCAAGTGACATGTATCCAATCGAATCTATTCACCATATTCAGTTAATCAATCAAACAAGTCTGAAATTCTGTCGTCGACAACAACAACAACAACAAAACAACAATAATCGGATCCAAGTTTAGTACAGAAGAAAAAAACCTTGAATAGAATACAATGAATGAATGGGAAAAAAAATAAACAACAAACAACAGCCAACAAAACCAGAATTGTTGCTAGTATAGTGTCAAAAAATAAAAATGTAAAAGACCAAAAAAAAACTTTCAACATTCACAACATCTGTCCCTGGAATAAAACAGTATGATGATGATGATGATGAAAAAAAGTCTGGCGATTGAAACGACATAATGCCAGACAAACATGCATTTTATTTTATTTTATTTTTTTCACTGACAAAAATTATTCGGCCATTGCATAGATACTAAAAGCAAAAGCTTTAACAATGATGAAAACTACAACAACAACATGTTCCAGAAACAAGAAGATGATGAAAAAAAAAGATTTTTTTTTCGCGATAGAATAGATTATGAAAGCAAGAAGAAAGGAAAAATATTCTATTCATAAAAAAAAGAACTAACCTTCCACTGTCCTTTTCCAAAGCGTTCATTATGTATAAAGTACTTGTGCGTTTATAAGTGGTCTCTGATGTTATGGACGTTTTCGATGATGATGATGATGATGATTCTGATGTTGTTGATGATAAAAATGTAGACATTGGATCAACGTTTGAATTCAAATTGGATCGATGAACTCGATGATGATGTTGTCGATCAAAACTAGTAGATTCTGTTGATGGTATCATGATAGATTCATGATGATGATCACCAGATGTTAATAATAACTTTTGTTGCTGTTGCTGTTGTTGTTGTTGTTGTTGTTGCTGATGCTGTTGTACAGAATATGATGAATAAAGTAATGAATTTTCATTTGATTCTTTAATATTCGATTGTTGTTGTTGTTGATGATGATGATTATGATTATTATTATTATTATTATTATCATCATTATAATTGATATCATCATCATCGGTAATAAGATCTAATTGTGAATTATCACCATCACCAACCGGTAATAATGACATCATAACACCGGATGGGCTATAACTTTCACGTATTAGATACATTTGACGACCAAATGTCATTAATGACATATTACGTATTGTACGGCCACGCCATTCCCATTCGATTTGTACATTTGGTATGGCTTCCATTACACAACCAATTGAAGCATTTTCACCTATGAATATTTGAAAAGATGAAACGAAAAAATGAAAAAAAATGATTATTATTTATAACCAAAAAAAAAAAAAAAAAAAAATCCTCTGGTAATATCATTGTGTCCATTTTTTTTTAATGGACAATAATTAGTAACAACTGCATATATATGAACACACAAAAAAAATTTAACTACACACATATAAATTAATTTTTTTCCCTTTCAATATTCTCTCTTAAAAAATGGGTAAAAATGGATAATACAGTGTTGATTCATTGGTCATAAATATATGGCTTGATTTTTTTTTTTTTTTAGCCTACCAGCTATACAAAAGACATTTCCGATTCCAGTTTTTTGTTTCCATTCACTTTTGATTATTATATACAATCTACAATTTTTTTTCCACATTTCTATTCATTTATAAATATGAACACAATGTGAAACAAATGTAAAACGGATTGTACGGAATAAATCGAATTTGAAAACACACACACACACACACACACACACACACTGACACATATACATTTGAATATATATATAAATTACAAACAAAATGGCAACAGACTTTTAACGAACATCATCCAAAAAAAAAAGCTTATCAGTTGACTAATAAAATAATAAAATTTTTTTTTTTTCGTTCGTTCGTTCGTCATTCTTTTTTTTCGTATTCATATTTAACAATGATTTTTCTGCCATTGCTTCATTTATTCGTTCATTTTTATTCATTTCAAATACACAAATGTAGGCCAATTCATTAATGAATCAATGATTCATTTTTTTTATGCATTGTTGAGAAAGTGGTTGGGAAAAAAATTCCATTGTTCCATGTTTAATGTGCTACTGATGCTGATTTGGCTGTTGAAATATTTGATGATGTGAACTAAATGGTAGGAAAAAAAATTGCATGTAAAAATGATGGAATGTGAGACGTAGTTGTTGTTGTTGTTGTTTGTGCTGTGATGATAACAAAAAATGTTTTTCATTGCATTCACCAAATATTTTTGCATATTTGTGTATATTTTTTTCACTTCAAATATTATTTTTGGACATTGAATGAATTTTTTTTTGTATTTCCTATGAGACTTCGTGTTGTGTGTGTGTATGCGTTGTGTTTGCATTGGTTTTTTTTCATAAAGATTGCATTTTTTTTTAAAAAAAAAGCTCAGTTGAATTTTCATTTCACTCTATTGAAATTTAGCCTAGCTGGAGAGTTGTTTGATTTTTTTTTGTTTATTTCGTTTTTTTTCACTCGTGGTCAATAGTTATGCATTGGTTAAATTGCAACCAATGAAGAAAAAAAACGCCATTTGGTCAAATTCAGTTATAACAAGAAAAAAAAGTAAAATAAAGAATTTGATGGAAAGTTGTGAAGAATGCAAGAATGATCGAGGCCAGTATTATAAATTCCAGGAATAATGACGACAAAAAAAACTCGTAGAATAATGGGGGATGTAGTTGAACTAGTGGCGAAGAAGATAAAGAGAGAGTGAGAGAGAGAGACAACAATCGGAATGAGAATAAAATAAAATAAAAAAATTTTTCATATTAAAGTTTCTTTTTTTCTCTATTTTTTTACACTCATTCTATTTCATTTTGATTATTTTGGTACCCAGAAAGAGAAAGAGAGTGTAGACAAAAAAAAATTGAATCATTTGCTCAAATACAACTTTTAAAACTGAGAAAAAAAAGCTAATAACAGTAATATCAATCATGGAACTAAATTGGATTGCCGTTATTTTTTTTCATTTTCATTTTCCACTTTTTTTCTGATTCATAGATTGTTCGTTGACTATATAGTCAAAAAAAAATTTTTTTTCTCCCTTTTTTTTATTCCCTTTGATTTGAAAACAAGCATGGTACCAGTTTAGTGAATGGAATTTTCAAATTACATAGACAGACACGAAATGCATTCGGTCATCCATCAACATTGATTTTAATGCATCGTCTCTCTCTCTCTCTCTCTCTCTCTTTTTCATTCTCATTAAATGAAACAGCCACAAAAAGAATTAGAATCACAAGGGGAACGATACAAGGGGACAGAGTGAACGAGCGATGATGGCAATATATATATAATATTAAATCCAGTTTAATTTACAGAGCTTTTCTTTCTCTAACCATCATCACTAATGACCATTTATAATTGAAATTAGGGAAATTTTTTTTTCATGCCTTCTCTTTCAGAATAATTAGCATGTTGTTAATCAAATGTGTACAAAAAAAAATACAAGAATCGATTTAATTAACTCTTTTTTTCTGGTTTTGTCTACTAAATTTTTTCCCTTTGCATTTTTTTTTGTCATCACTCAATAGTTATAAATTTTCACTGTGATAAATTGATCATTTGATGATGATCATCGTGAAAATGTTCAACTTTAACGCAAACTAAATCTAGATCATCATCTTAATTAAATGGAACAATAAAACTGACGATATAAACGAATCGATCTTGTATTTTTTGGGATTGTCATCCAATGTATTCGGTTGATTTCGGCAACAATAATTGGATTGTAGTTTCATGTGTAAACACACACACATCAACCAAAAACAAAAAAAAAACGACGACGACGACAACATCTCAATTGATGTTTATTTTTTCTCAATCAAACATATAACACCCCAAAAAACAGAACAGAACAGAATCAAACAACATGAAAGATAACAATGATGATGATGATGATCGGATTGTTTAGTATACTAATTCGAGTAATCTTAGCGAGAAACAAAAAAAATAACATGACAGAAAAAAACAGACAGCAAAAAAAAAAAAAATGATCGTAACATTATATCACAATTTAATCATTATATCAATTAGATTGTTTCAACAAATCATCGTACATGTTGTTTTTGGTGTGTGTGTACATATGTCATGTTTGTCTAGTTTAGTCTATTTGATTGGATAAATTAAATTGAGCTTAATTTTTTTTTCTTTTGGCCAGATTCTGGCAATATATAAAAATTATGATGTATCATGATGAAAATGATCAAAATATGATAAAAATTTCTAAATAGTTTGAATTAATCTGTATGAAACATGCAGTTAAATATCTGGATAACAATGCCAAAGACGATTACGAAGACATTGTTATGTAAGTGAAGATTTCACATTGAAAGAATTTAATACGGATACGGGTACAGTTTGAGCGTGAGAGACAAAATAGTCATGTAAAGAAAATCGTCTCCCTTTCTCTTTCTTTTCTTTTTTTTTTTTTTGCTCTGAATATTATTATTTCATTCAATGTTGCAGATTCCGTGTTGTTCAGTCATCCATAAATGATGAACTTGACAAGTTGACCGTTATTTCTATTTCTATTCTAGTCCATAGAAATTCATTCATTCGGATTCAAACAAGAACAATTAGATAGATATGAAGCAAGAGCGAGAGAGAGAGTTTGACTTGTATACACCAGCTGCATTTACAATTCAAAGAATCTCTCCCTTTTTCTTTGAATCTTTTCCATCTTTTTATCTTCTTTACCATTTTGTTCAACCATCATGATCATCAACATCATCATAAATGATCACACACACACACACACAAACATCAATCGTATGAGCCAAATGGAATTGATGACAAAATAAAGAACTCATTTTGTCGCTGACCAGAGCAGCAAGAAAAAAAAGGACATTATTTACTGTTGGAAAAAAAAGTTGGCATAATATTTATGATGTTCTTGTTGATGTCCTCAAATATACTGAAATATATCAAGTTTTTTACTAACGAATTCCTGAGAAATTCAAAAAATAAAATAAAAAAGTTTTTTTGTCCTTTCAAACTCAATTCGTCTCGTCAGCTATATTAGCTATTTTTTTCTCTGTTGAACCAATGTCATCATCATTATCATTATTATTATGGTCATGAATGAAAGCCGGACATCAATGAATCTATTTCGTTTCGGTTCAATTGAGACAATCATCATCATCATCATCATCACAAAGACAAGGAAACAAATTGTAATATATATCAGTGTCTGCAGATGGACAAAGTCATCATCCGACAACAAGAAACTAAATTCATGATTGACCATTCAAAATTTGACATCATCATCATCATCTTTAATGATGCATTAGTTTCTTCACTATTTTTTTGATCATTTCAATGAAATATAATGAAATAAATTAATTAAATGAAAAAAAAATTAAATAGATTAAAATCGCTATCAATTGAATTTAATTAAACTTTATCCATTTCGATTGGTCATCATTCCATTTGATTCTGAAAGAATTGCTACGAAAAAAAAATGGCAAAGAATCAAAATTAATGATGATAATAATGATTAGTCTTTCCACTGTAATCATTGTCATTATCATCATCAATCGTGACATTCATACGGATTCATTTAAGTAGAAGAAAAAAAAATTTGAAACTGTCAAAAAAAGCAAATATTGGAAATGAATAAATTCATGAGCACAGAAAGAATAAAATTGCATCAGAATAAATGAACACGAAAAAAGATTCTTTTCATCAACATCAAAGCAAGAAAAAAAAAATAATTTAATTATATCAAAAAGCAAAAAAATAAAATAAAATTAAATATGAAATGAAATAGTGATGATTGAATCATCATCATCATCACCACCATTACAGCTGAAGTAATAATGATTATGATGATGATAATAATTATAAATAATCGAATACAGTGAGAAGAAAAAAAAATGATGGCCAAAATAAATGTCATTTGGTATCATTACATTGTACCTATCGATTACTACACATCAAATTGTATATGACAGATGAAATTATTCCATCATGAATTGGATCTAAGAAAATTTTTACCACTTATTTTTATTATTACAGATGATAATAGATCAGACAGTTGAATATTGTGAATTTGAATTTTGAAAATTTGAAACAGAATTTCATTTCAAATTTTATTGATTATCAATATGATAATGGTGATTATTATTATTTAAAATATAAACAAAATTCTTTTTTCTCAATGAATAGACAAGCGACAAAAACAGAAAAATTTCATTTCATTTCCACTCATCATCATCATTATTATCATAGTATCGCATTC